AAAAAAAAAAAAGGTTTACAGAGCTGCCACTCTCGATTAGACATTTTGCTGTCCATCTGTCTGTCTCTGAATTTGCTCATAGCATCTGAGCTAAACCCCCCACCTTCCTGCCTTGCCATCAGCCCTTTTTTTCCAGCCCTTTTTTCCAATCCTTCAGCAAAGAGCTTCTTCCTTCGTACAAAATGGTCCCTCTCCCCTGCCGGGTTGAAAACGAGCACTGATATCCCTCCGTTTATCCCCCCCACCTCTACCTGGGGGTCGGAGATGGCGAGATGAGGTGATGGCAGATGTGATTGCAGCTCTTTTAATTGCACAGACACTTTTCCCGGACTTGCCGGAATACGCGGGGACTGGGAGCTGCTATTAATAGCCTATTGACTGAGCTTACAGACTCCATTTTCTGATGCAGGGCTGGGGAAGGGTTTGCTTCCATTAGGTGGCATTCGCAGGAAATGGAGGCCTGCGCACCCAAAAGCCAACAAAAAAACCCCAGAGTCTGATTTTTTTTTTTCTTTTTATTTAAGAGAAAAGAGAAAGGATTTTTTTTTTTTTTTCTTCTCGACTCAGGGGCAGAGGTAACGGTAGCTCCCAAAGAAGAGTTGTTCTGTTTAAAAAGAAAGAAATAAATCAGTATTTTGGTCTCCAAATAGAAAGCTGTCCCTCCGCTGGGGTTCGATCAAGGAAAATCGGGCTGTTTCTGGCACTGAACAGGGAAGGTATTGTGCAAAGCTAGATAATACCCTGTTTTTTTTCCGACGACGGCTCTGGGTAACTGAATATACCCCGTGAAAAGAGGGAAACTGTTTGCTAAATAAAGGATCTCATTTGATTTCAAGTTACGTATGATGCCGAGTTCTGGGGGGGTTCCACACGAAGTGACTGGCTGGTTGTGTGCGCGGCTGCGGGGGCCGGCGATGAGGGAGAGCCAGGGGTCTGCTCCGTGCCTCAGTTTCCCCATGCAGAAGTGAAAGAATAGGCTGCTGATGGGTGAAAGGCTGTGGGATGTGCTGATGGAGCCCCTGCCGGAGAAGGATCCGTTATTAATGCATTGCATAAAACGCACCGTTCCTCGTGTCTCTCTGCTGTGTCCCCCTCTAATGACCCCCTCCCTTTTCTCCTGGCAAGAGAGGGGGTTGATGTGCACGCTGCAAGGGCAAACCTCCCAGCTCCTGCTCAGCCCCCTCACTAAGCCTGGAGGATGCTTAGGAGCAGAGATTTAATTCTGGATTTTTCCACAGCCCCTCCCCAACTGCCCTTCCTGCAGGCATGAGAGCTCACTGGTGCCCAGCGGGAAGGGGGCATCACCTTCTTGACCCAATGTCATAGAATCATATGGGGTTTGGGTTGGAAGGAACCTCAAAGACCGTCCAGTTCCAACCCCCCTGCCATGGGCAGGGACACCCTCCACTACACCAGGTTGCCCAAAGCCCCATCCAACCTGGCCTTGAACACTTCCAGGGATGGGGCAGCCACAGCTTCTCTGGGCAACCTGTGCCAGTGCCTCAGCACCCTCAGTGTAAGAAATTTCTTCCTTATATCTAATCTAAATCTCCCCTCTTTCAGTTTAAATCCATTGCCCCTTGTCCTATCGCTACACGCCCTGGTAAAAAGCCCCTCTCCAGCTTTCTTGTCCCCTTCTCGGAGGGGGAAGCTTGCCCCAGCTTTAGGATTTTGCCCATAATCCTCCAGACCAAGCTGCAAAGTCATCGCAGCGCTCAGCTGTTACGTAAAGGGACCAGCACCGCTAATTCCTGGCGCTGGCCGGGCATGGGGCGGGAGCGGGGGAGCCGGGGGCAGAGCAGCCCCCGGGCACGGCGCGGGCTGGACGGGTTCGGATGCGATACCGCGTTAGGATCGTCACCGAAGCGTCCGCTGCCTGCAGTCGGGAGGCGCGTCCCTCTGGACCCGTGATTTATAATTGCCTGTAATGAAGTCATGCGTTGATGCTCCAGAAGAAACCATGGTTGGAGAGAACACTGGGATGGCTGGATGGGAGCATGGTGTCGCAGCCCTGCGGTAGGATCCCGTTAAATCATCCGCAAATGACCTAAATTCCATGTTCCATCTTAAAAAAACCCTCATAGCTGAGGCCAAGAGCTGTTGATCGATGCCCATTAACCCTTTGTTTTGGCTGGGCTCCCCGGACTGCCCTGGCACGCAGTGTGGCCAGCAAGGGGTGAGCTTGTGCTGCCCCATCTCCACCTTGGCAGGATCCCAGCTCCGAGTGGGGGCATCAGCTCCGCGCTCTCCCTGATGCCATCATGTCAAAGGAGACTGACCCAAAGGAGAAAGCAGTTCAGGAGTGACACTGGTTTTACCAAGGAATGTGCTTTAGTGCAGGACAGAGAAGTTCACTGTGGCTGATCTCACCCGGCGTGATTTTGTGCATTACAATGTTGGCTGAGATTTTGGCCATTTGGCAACAACAGTTGGTCTGGCTGCAGCTCACAGCAGCTTTCCGAGTGAATTCGCACACTCTGTGGCAAAAATCAATCACATTTCTATTCTGCTCGTAGCAACCATCTCGCATTTCATTTTCTTTTAACCCATTCCCCTCCTACACCCCTGTCAGTTATGGGCTCACTCATGCAGCGATGCCCCTTCCCACTAACCAGCTGTCTCACAGCGTCAGTTAATGGGTTAAAACATCACGATAAGAAGCTTTCCACCATTCCTGTATAGTTCTGTAGCACCAATGGTTTCCCAGCAGCAGTGAAGGACCATGGCGTTTCATGGAGGAGACCTCATGGGTCACTGGCTCCAGCTCCTCCCCATCCAGTCCCACTCACAAATTCACTTCACAGCTCTTCTTCCAGCCTCTCCTCCATCCTGTTGAGGAATGCGTTGAGAGCAATATCTCCTTTCACCTGTATTTGTTAGCAAATAGATCATTGCCATTGGATTTAGGGAATTTTACCTTCAATGTTTGCAACGGGACCCTCTGCCTATGTGAGCTTGGGATGTGCACTGGAGGGTGGGTTGCTGGCACTGGTGCCATAGGCTTGGGTTTCTCACCAGCTCTCGCCTTTGTGTTGGCCAGATGGGGAAGGGGTCCTTCAAATACGCCTGGGTGCTGGACAAGCTGAAGGCCGAGCGTGAGCGTGGCATCACCATTGACATCTCGCTGTGGAAGTTCGAGACCACCAAGTACTACATCACCATCATTGACGCACCTGGCCACAGGGACTTCATCAAGAACATGATCACCGGGACCTCCCAGGTGAGAAATTGTGGCCAGGGGTTGGGGGACTGCTGGAGGTGAGAGGCTGAGGCTTGTTGACAAGCCCATGGTCATGTAGGTGCTGCTGGAGTCCTTCTGGAGGTAGCTGAGAAAGCAGACATGAAGGAGTGTTGAGCAGGGTCCACACAAGAGACTAGGTAGCACCAGGGGACCCAGCATGCCATAGTCCTGCACCTCCCTGGGTGTGTGGGAGAAAGGATCTCCTTGGGCACAAAGAGGTGGTTTCTCTACCTCGTTTCCCCTGCTTGGAGGAGGTGGGAATGAATATGGCCTCCCTGGGAGGTGAGATGCTGTGAGCTACAGGTCTTTGTATGACGATATCTCCTCAGTATCTCTCAGCCAACTGAAGTATACAAGAAACTTCCAGCAATCCCTTGGATTTTATTGGCTAAAGGAGACTCCATGGATCTTTTATGCTTCCTTCTTCTTGAAACATCTGTTTTTATCCCATAAACCCCATCATATTGCCAAACTCAGCGGTCTACCTTTCCAGGGTAGGGTGCTTTCCCCTCATCGCACTGCAGGACATTCCCGCATCTCCCTGTGGTTGATGGGTGCTGGATGAGCCTCACTGCATGCCCAGCGAGATTCGAATTGCAATGCCAGTTGGGATGGGCATGGTTTCTGTCAAACCCAGGCAGCTTCTGCTGTGGACTCTGGGTTCAGAAGTAACCTGGGGAGCACAGTTTTTGTGCCTGGAGTCTCACCTGTCACCCAGGCAGATTATTTGCAAGACTTCAGTAGGATTTTAGGTGAGTCCTTGTCTGTGCTTCCCTGGATGATCAAGATCAGGTCCTGGTTAGAATCATGCAACCTGGAGGGACTCGCCCTGGTTTCTGACCCATGTTGCAAAACCATGCCCAGTTGGCAAGTCCGAAATAACACAGTGAGGTCAGTTTTGGGGCAGATCAGCAGGGTTATGGGTAGCAGCTGGTGGGGGGTCTGTCCAAACCATGAGTAGTGTTCGTCTGGAACTTACTCAAAGCTCTCAGGGCTGTCACCAGGAGCAGTACTCTGGGGACAGAAGCAATTCATGAGCCCTCTCCTCCCAGGCTGACTGCGCCGTCCTGATCGTCGCTGCCGGCGTCGGTGAATTTGAAGCCGGCATCTCCAAGAACGGGCAGACTCGTGAGCACGCCCTGCTGGCTTACACCCTGGGGGTGAAGCAGCTCATCGTGGGCATCAACAAGATGGATTCCACAGAGCCCCCCTACAGCGAGAAACGCTACGATGAGATCGTCAAGGAGGTCAGCGCCTACATCAAGAAGACCGGCTACACCCCAGCCACAGTTCCCTTCGTGCCCATCTCGGGCTGGCATGGAGACAACATGCTGGAGCCCTCTCCCAATGTAAGTGTGCATTGTGTCAGACATCTCCCCCACCCTGACTGTCCTGATCCAGGCTGAAGCTGACCTCCGTGCTCTGAGAACCGCGGGCGCATTCCATGCTCCCGTTGTGCGTAATGGCCCGTGATGCCAACGTGGTTGTGTTTGTCACGTAGCTCCGATCGCACCGAGCCAGGATGAATGAACACACTGTTCATGGGCACGCTGGTTGCCGTACCGTGGCCAGACACCCCAGAGGCTGAGCATGAGCATCTTCAGGAGATGATCTGTATGGCTCTGCTTCTGGGATGCGATTTGAAGGTTTTGCATCATCAGAGC